CATGGATTACAAAAAAATCGAATCAAGTATTACAAAAAAATCTATCATGGATTACAAAAACAAAAAAAAAAAAAAAAAAAAAAAAAAAAAAAAAAAAAAGAAAAATCCGTACGGACTCGCGGATTCACTGTTCGGACTCGCCGATTCCGTACAGTGAATCGGCGATTCACTGTACAGAATCGTCCCGTTCTCTCTAGAACCGGACGATTTCCGATTTTTTAGGCGATCCGGTCCCCTTTCACGATTTTCGAGTCGAACCGGGCGAGTCCGGTTCGACTCGACGTTTTTTAAAACGCTGGTTCTACCCCCCTGCAAAAATTCACGTGTAAGAAAATCAGGTAAATGATTAGAACTGCCATGTAAATGTTCAATAGTGAAATCAAAGGTAGAGAGAATAGCTTGCCACCTAGCAACAATCTGTTTAGACACTAAATTTTGCACATTTTTAACAAGAATATCTTTAGCTGCTTTGCAATCAGTACGAATAAGGAAAATAGTATTCAAAATATCACTTCAGAATTTAGTAACACAATGTACTATGGCTAGAATTTCTTTTTTAACGGTAGAGTAATTTTGTTGAGTAGGATTCCATGCTTTAGATGTATATCGTACTAATTGTTCGGTTGAATTTATTCGTTGTTTGAGGATTCTTCCTAATCCTAATTTTGAAGCATGACATTCAATGATTTTAAAAGCATATGGATCAAGTAGGGAAAGACAAGGTAATTCTTTTGATTTAAGTTTAAGTTTTTTAACTGCTTCAGTATGAATAACAGTCTACCTAGGAGGATTCTTTTTTAGTCTATCATATAAAGGTTTTGCATCTATTGCTAAATTTTTATAAAAATCTACTATAGAATTCAAACATTCTAAGAATCTTTGCAATTCTTTTTTATCTAGTATAATATCTGGGAATTTGTCAGTAAATTGTATGGATCTATCTATAGGTATGATTATTCCTTGGGCTATATTGTTTCCTAAAAATCTAATTTTTGTTTGAAATAGACTCATCTTTTTTGCAGAGACCACTAACCCTGTGTGTTTTACCGCATTTATAAAAACATTAATATGTTTAATATGTTGTCGTATATTTTCAGAGAAAATTAAGACATCATCAATATAAACTTTCATAAATTTTAAATAAGGATTAAATGCTGTTTTATATCTATCTTCTTCTTTTATTTGAATTTGCCAATAGCCAGATTTTAAATCGAATTTTGAAAAGATATAAGCATTTAATAATCTATCTAATAAATCTTTTTTATTAGGTATAGGATACCTAATCCATTGAAGGGCTTTATTTAATGGTTTATAATTTACAAGAAGTCTCGGTACTCCTATTTCTTGTTCTGCATTTTTATTGACATAAAAAGCAACACAACTCCAAAGAGAAGTACTTGGTCTAATTAATCCTTTCATTAATAGTCCATCCTTTCATTAATAGTCCATCTATTTCTTTTTTGCAAAATTTTAATAATTTTGTATTCATTTGAATAGGTCTTGCCTTTGTTAGTATTTTGGATTCATGAAAAGTAGATTCATATGGTAGACTTACTATATGCTTTTTTTTTTCCCAAAAAGCATTAGGTAACTCTTTGCATATATCTTTTTCTATTTGTTTAGTTATATTTTTTATTTGTTCTTTTACTTCAGTGGTTTGTAATTTTTCTTCTATTGTTTAATATTTAATTTTTTCTTTAAGGGAACAAATGAAATTTTCTTTTTGTTTTATATTATTTTTTACCCCATTAATTTCTTTCAATTTTGGTTTATCTACAATTGCAAATATTATTGTTTCTCCTGCTATGCTTGTTTCTAGTCCTTTATTATTAATTGTGATTGGATATAATAATGTAAGAAAAGGAACACCAAGAATTACGGTTTAACTTAGTCCTTTTACCATTATAAAAGGAGTAGGGAAACAATGTCCATTATTGCATACCATAGCATTAGATAATTTATATTTAATAAATAATCTACTTCCATCAACAGTATTCAAGATTTGTGTTGTTTTATCAAAATATTTTGTAGGTACTAATCCTTCATTGATGCAATTTAAATCTACTCCGGAATC